TGGCTAGATCTTCACATGACTTCGATGACCATGTTAAATGGCAGTTTCCCATCTCCAGTAGGATACAAAAAAAATAGTGCCTTCAATTAGCATGTTAGTTGGCAACACTCAAATAAAGTGCTTATTTTAAATCAAAATACTACTTGAGCCTCAATCCCTTATGCTCTAGGATAGTGCATGTGTTTTTGAAAAGCGCAGGAACAAATACCAACTTTAACTTCACTGCATTGTTATCACTGTTATTTTTTATACTTACCTCTCAGAAGCTGCTCCTGCTTCTTCACAAGACCAAGAAATTTCTTGTACCCTTTTTCATAGTCTTTTCTGTTATCACGTAAAGAGGTCAAGGAATTAAATTCAAATTAAATTAAATTAAGTACCATAATGAAAATAAGACAAGGGAAAGATGTTTACAGGACCCTGGCCTGCAATCATGCCATCCCTATATCTCTACAGATCTCTTGGCAGAAGGAAGAAAATATATGATTGCAGGCTAACAGGACACAGTTCTCTTTGTGATATGGAGAGCGTCAAAGTTTAGCAATCCCATTGTAACTTAGAGACCCTTGCAAATCATTTCTGTGAAAAGGATATTGTTTTTCTTCTTCTCCAGCTCAACGGACCACTGGTCATATCTCTTAACTTCATTTTCCATCACCTGCATGCACATAGCACCAATCTTTTGATGAATGATGATGGAGTGAAACTGGGAAAAACTTGAAAAACAGAAGAAGACGTACACGATGTTGGTCGTTAGCTCTGTACTTTTCCTCCAGTCTTCTCGCAAAACCCTGGAAAGGGCCCCTAACACAGGGTCTGAAAAAAGGGCAGAATTAAACCAAAGCATGAAGGGAAACCTATACTTAAACTGACTTTCTTTGCAGTGCGCCATTTTTTATATTTTTATATATATATTTTTTTACACTACCAGATTACAAATTAATGTAGATGTAGTTCCAATTTCACTGTTTATCCTGCAGGATGTTAACACAACAGAAAAAAAAAGATAAGAAAACAGGTCTTGATTAATCGATAATCATACCATTAGTTGCAAGCTCCTCTAAGTTGTCAGGGTTTCTGGATAGCTGTAATATAAGGGCAGTTCCTCTAATCTTTTCAGGAAGGTCTTCATACAGCAACTCCACATATTCCTCTATGTCATTTATGTTTGCTTGCTCATCAAGCTAGGGAGCAGTCAATAAAAGTATAACAATAATTAACACTGGAATGAACTTCTTTTGAATTACATGATCCACTTTCCCATCAGAACTCGTACCATCTTTCATGTAATATATCAAGCATGAAACGTAGTGTTTCATCACCAGATGAAACACTGACTCGTGAGAAGAGAGTTGAAAATACCACGCACAGCAAAGTCTTTTTGACGAACTTCAAGGTGTTTCATCAGGTGAGGAAACACTGTGTCAAATGCTTGATATTACTTCTCAAACAAAATGATTTTAGAGAGAGAAAATTAATGATGCAAAAATGAGCTCTTTTTTGTTTAATTTCCAAATACTCATTAAACATTAATTTCCTTAGTATTTTATTAATGAATTATTAAATGAGTTTGAGAAGTAAATATCTACATGTACCTTCCAGCTGGACTATCAACCCTCCAAGTTAAAGTTTTTGCTTGGTCGCCATTTGGCAACCAACTCTTTTGGTTTAGGGAGACTGTTTTACAAATCATGTCGCCAGCTCCAAAATTTTAGGTGCCATGGCTACCAAAATGGTCGCAACTTGGAGGGTTGACTATACCCATATTTACCCAGATCTATTTACCTCAGTGCCCTCAAAATCAGCAGCAGCATTCCTTAGAGTGTCAGCCTTTTCTTTACCTAAAAGTTGTAAAATCAATTATAGCAATCAGTCTAGATAAGCTTTCTGACAGGGAGCAAAAAATAATGGGAAATTAGAAGGACACAATATTTGGCAAGAAAGGTCAATTATGTCGCACATTATCTGATTGATCTAAATGTAATGTTACATAGACCTCACACAGTGGCAGTGCAAACATGCCCAATTGAAATCCTTTTTTCAACCTTAAATACCCTTCAAGACAAAATGTCGTATTCCAGACTCTACTGAGAGCACCACCTTCCATCAGCAGGATCCTGTGGGGTGTGAAATCACAAGGCAAAAACCTTCCCAAATTTTACACAGTCAAATGTTTCCTAATTTTTCCCAATTTATTTGTCCTTCTATTGAGTTTAAAATCAATGTTCTACATCATGGTACGCCTTACATAGTGATTACGATAAAAACTGGTTTGAAAACTAAGGAAGAAATAACTAGTTTCACCTACTCGCTCATTTAAGGAACCTCACTATTTCTGTGTAATATTGTGTATAGTTTAATTACCTTTTGATTTTCCAGCCCCCGTATCTTTTCTGTTCTGTAAATAGTACAACAACTGCTCGACTTCAGGGAGCTTGGTGGGGTGAATTAGCTTGCACTTTTCAATTACTTCTGAAGCTAGCTTTGCTATATTGGTTGTGGCATTTAGGCTCTGTAAGCGAATTCTGTTGAAAAATGAAAGTATTGTAACGGTATACAGCCCAACCTCATTGTACAGCTCTGTTTCATTAGTGACCTCCTCCCACAAATGACCTCCTATCCAAAACACCAAATTTCTCTAGTCAAAGCCCTATAGTCAGGACCTCTTGAGAGTGACCACTAGACAAACAGTCGGATATCAATCCTCATCTTGGCTGGATGTACATGTGCTAATGCTAATCAGAGTAATGAGGAACTTTTGGTGACAATCTAGCACTGCTCATATTGTAATAAGCAAAATGAATGAAAGCACAGTTTAGGTGTTCGGACCAATTTCCAGAAGAATCCCCCAGTGGTTTTCACTACTGATGGAGTCAGAGTCAGTCATAATCAGAATTATAGTATATAGCAATGATATGGTGAAAACATTCCAATTCCATGTACCACTCTGTTGCTTATGATCTGGTAATAAGTTGTCGGATTCTAGAGGAAAAGTGGAAAAACTAGACCAATCACCCAAGTGTGGATACTATGAGACTGTTGTTATTGGTTTATCCCTCTACTTCTGCTTCAAACTTCAATAATTTGGTTTTCTATAGATCTTACGCAATGGAGTCAGAAGAAAATGATAAAGTTATGGTTCTTCCAACTCTGATTCCGTTGCGACTACGACTCTATTTATCACTCCAATTTTTGATTTTCGCTAGGTCATGGGCAGTCTTACCAGACCACACAGGATTAACTCAGTCAGTATAGAGTGCTTGACTGCAGAGCGGCAGGTTGCAGGTTCGATTCCTGGGGCCGGACCAATACTCAGGGTCTTAAAATAACTGAGAAATAAGGTAAGGCTAGACCTCGTGTGGCAGCCTCAGATGACCATTCCAGTAGGAGACGTAAAAATAGTGTCCCAAATATTAGTAGTACTTTCGTGCTAAATACATTGATACTCAAATAAAGGTGATTTTTTTTTACTATACGGCTTACGTCTCTCGAGTATACCCACAACATTTATTAAGGGGAGCAATCCCTCCTCCAACATGGGCTATATGTATATCACATGAAGTTCAGACGGAGATAAAGAAGTGAAATATAGCCGAAAACCTTCTGATATCTNTTCCAATTCCATGTACCACTCTGTTGCTTATGATCTGGTAATAAGTTGTCGGATTCTAGAGGAAAAGTGGAAAAACTAGACCAATCACCCAAGTGTGGATACTATGAGACTGTTGTTATTGGTTTATCCCTCTACTTCTGCCTCAGACTTCAATAATTTGGTTTTCTATAGATCTTACGCAATGGAGTCAGAAAAAAAAAGAGAAAGTTATGGTTCTTCCAACTCTGATTCCATTGCGACTACGACTCTATTTATCACTCCAATTTTTGATTTTCGCTAGGTCATGGGCAGTCTTACCAGACCACACAGGATTAACTCAGTCAGTATAGAGTGCTTGACTGCAGAGCGGCAGGTTGTAGGTTCGATTCCTGGGGCCGGACCAATACTCAGGGTCTTAAAATAACTGAGAAATAAGGTAAGGCTAGACTTCGTGTGGCAGCCTCAGATGACCATTCCAGTAGGAGACGTAAAAATAGTGTCCGCAATATTAGTAGTACTTTCGTGCTAAATACATTGATACTCAAATAAAGGTGATTTTTTTTTACCATACGGCTTACGTCTCTCGAGTATACCCACAACATTTCTTAAGGGGAGCATTCCCTCCTCCAACATGGGCTATATGTATATCACATGAAGTTCAGACGGAGATAAAGAAGTGAAATATAGCCGAAACCTTCTGATATCTGCTTAAATACACCTTAATTTAATGGTATCAACTACTGGTCACTAATCACAATTTATACAGATCACAATTTATACAATCTCAGCCACCAGCATCGTAACTAGGAAACGGGATAACGCTTAGAACGAGAAATATTTCTGGCGATATGTTAGTCCATCAATAAGGGATGTTCAGACTCGCAAAAATCATCGAGATTGTTACACGGAATTCATTCAATCATTTTACCTTAAGTGTCAACTTCTAACCAATGTCGGTAACTAAGCTTATATTATTTTTACTTACAAAGCAAACTTACACTTTCTGGCATTCCTTCCGTTCGCCCAACATGGGCTCCCCCATCTCTCCAAGAATGACTGCTTCCAGCTCATAATTCACAACGATAGCTTTTTCTGTTGGATGGGCATCGATGCTTCCTCCTTTCACCCTCCTGAGTAGGATAAAAAACTAAGATCTAACCAAGGGGAATCTCGAAAGAAGCTGCACTGACGAACAAAATCTCCGTCGTCGGCAAAGATTGCTGAACGTAGGTTTATTTCTCTGACAGTCGTTGTAAATTCAGCCGAAAATTACTCACCTTTTTAAGTACCGTGCCTCTTCCTGCATTTTTCGTTCAGTAGAAACTAGATCATGTTTCCCCAGAGTTGTAAATAAACCTTCTCTGACATTGCCACTACAATCTCAATCGCTTCAGCTGCCATTTTCAACTAATGAAGTTCGTATGGAACGCTGGGAAACCATTCGACGGGTAGATTTCTTGGACGGGATTACTGGACTCGTGGAAAAGGGAACTACAGTCGAAACCCGCTTTACGGACACCTGCTTGTCACGAGTCTCACGATTTCACGACCTATCTCACGCTCACGATTTCTCACGCCTTGTCGAAAATTCCAGAAAAATTGTGGAGTTGTAGGGCTCATTTCCAAGTTAGATATCAATAGTTAGCCATCTCAATCCATATTCTTTCAGCCTACCGCGGCTTGCGGTACCAAATGTGCACAGTTTTTCTTGTTTAAAGATGGCAGCCAACAAAACATAGCAATTACAAAATCTAAATCGTCTGAATTGGTCGTAATGACTGCTGTAACTTTAAAGTGACATGCATAATCCCCTCTGGAGGTCCTTCCGCTAGGAAATTTGAGACATCTTACTCTCACTTCTTTTCCCAGCTCTAGATTCAGAATCTCCCCGGGGGGTTCTCCTGGGAATTCTTAGTGAGGGAGCGCCGCCTGGTTCTCCAAATGCTGACCCTACTTCATACCAAAAAATGTCATTTTCCACATCCGTTTTCAGACCTGGTCTCTAAAATCCATACCCATTTTCAGACTTGGCTTCTTCTCCCCAGCCTCCTAGTGGCACAAAGAGACCTCTGCCGAGTAGCCTGCATAACAGGCGTTATTTTTTCGCTCTTTTCAGGCGAGCGAAGGCAAACGCGAAGCGAACGAGAGCACCGGACACCTGTTGGGCGCTCCTTACTCGTTTCGCGCTTGCCTTCGCTCGCCTCGCCTGCAAGAGCATTGGGTTTGTTCGGCTCCAATTACTAGTTTCACCCGCCGAGAAAAGCCGTTATTTTTCGGAAGAAGAGAAGCGACGACCGGAAATACGTCTGCGGTTCCCAGGCTATCGCTCGCCTGAAAAACGCGAAAAAATAACGCTTGTTATGTAGGCTATCTGCGGAGGAGTGGTCACTAGGAAAACTCGCCATCACTTAGCCACTTGGACAAACTCGAAGCAACATCTTTTAAAATTCTTTTAACAATGCAGTGACCAATTTATCTTATAAACTCCGTGCTTTTATACGGTGTATAAGCAAATGTTTAATTCTCAGGCTACATTGTTGATATGCAACTATTTACATAATTTCTTCTTATGAGTCTCTCTCCGTGTCAACAGGAGAAGGGTATAGCAGGAAGAGTTATCGGAACAGCAGGCGGGCCGGCATGGCAAATTCCAATTCAATCAGGGAATCGAGAAACGCAGTCGAGAAACTGTTAGGTGGTTTAATTTTCCCTTAAAGATTGAATTTAATTCGCCTAAAAGGATTCAGATTCGCAGGTGTTTACACACATCAGTAAATATCAGAACACTCAAACACAAAGTATTCATTTTAGATTCAGGATTCAATTTCTCCGGACAAGCGTCCAAACCGGGACGTGTTTGTTACGGATTTGAACGACAGTCGATTCGAACATCTGCGTGTAAAATGAATCCTGTACCAATATGCAAATGTTCCTGGTTCGTCGCGAATCCGGAAAAATCTCTTCTCGTAGAAACCTTAGAACCAGCCCACTCCCCTAACCAAAAGTCTAAAACGTTAGAGTAAGCTTTTATAGAAGCTTTTAAAAACCCATTGCATTTTTTCCAAAAGCCTCGCCCAGTGTTTGCTTGGAATGAACTACACAAACACTTACTATACAGAATACTAGTTTTTCTCTTTTATTTCCTAAATACTATATGTTCACAGATTACCACAGTTTCATCGTAGAAAATTTATCTTTCCTTAATCGAAGGAGCTGACCTTGGACGGCCAAGGTACACCATGATCAAAAAGCACCTTGCTGCCTTAATAAATTATTATCTAGAGTCTGTCTAAGGGTAGAATGAAATTCTGCAGTTAAGAAAACGACGTATATCATATTCATTTATCAGTCCGTTCAAACTGTTGTGAATGTCAGCGAATGCTTCTGATTCCAGCGATGGCCATCATAATGCGATCCTCCACACTGAGATCGGTAGCAACCTCGTGGAACCTAAAAGCAAAAAATGTGTAAGAAAAGAATCTCAAACGTCGAAAGGCTTTTCGTTGTTAAACTACTCCGTTTAAATACTGACCGCTCACTGCTTGTTTTCATCAGGCAAAGAGCAGCAGTAAATGGTGTAATACTGTGTGTAATTATAGTCGCGATAAACAACAGAGTGAATATCATGACAAACGATAAACAAACCCTATCAAGAATCAACTACATGTAATAACCTGGCAAAGAAGTTAACTTACTTATCGGGAGATGCTTTAAGTAAGGCGTTTATATGCATCAAGGTTTGACTTGGAGTCACCTCAAGAGCTTCCAACACATTGCAGAAGTAATCTAGCAAACGAAATAAAATATCAGTTAAATTTATTATTTTACTGTTTTTGGGTCATGGCCAAACGGGTGCGCTAAAATTGAAACTTACACCTCTGACATGATGGCTATCGACACAAAAACAATACTGACGACGATGATCAGTCTCTCTTTTTTCTCAGTTCGTAGAGCGAAACGCGGGCGTGAGACACGAAAATGGACAAGTGCGTAACTGAACGCGCGAGACAGCAGAACCGCTGCCGCCATCATTTGTCGCGTCTCGCTTGCGCGTGCACTTTCCCCTCACTAAATCTGAAGGAAAAGAGAGACTGCTTGCGGTTTATTAACGTTTTTCTCGCGCATCAATTTCCACGAGTTCAAACGTAATTAAACGGACTTGCTTTCAAGACAAAGCGATACAACTTCCAATGACAACCTAGGCATTTGTACCAAGCCGTTATTCTATAAACTAAATTTGATTTTGAGATGACATTAAGGCTTTATAATGAAGGTTATTGCCAGTTGGGAGAAAACTGACTGAGTGAAATGTGCGACAATTTTCCCGCCTTTGTACTGTAAGAGGGCAGGCGTCACGGTACTTTGAGAAGTATTCCAACGCTTTTAAGGTCAGATTCGCATCTACTTACTATAATGTAGCTTACATGAGACGGTAGTTGCTAGGCGGATTGCAAAACAATTTTTCACGTGTATTAAAATTGTATAAGCTCGTATAGTAGATGTTCACACACCTATATCAGCTAAGAGCTGTTGGGTTGAATAAGGCGTTAGTTCGTGAATCCGAAGAATACTTTCCGTGTAAGCGTGCATGGTACCACGAGCGATAGAACCAAGCCAGTATGATCCGGGGTGGTGTTCACCTTCATCTGTAAAAAAATTAAACACAAGTCAATTCTTTCCCTTGAATTAAGGAATAAAACTTACAAAACTGCATTCTATGGATCTTTGATCTACTAAAAAGGTTGCCCAAAAGAGCCCGACGAACCGAAGAAACAGGTCACATCTCGGACTTTATTTCAATTCCGAAATAACCGCCGTCTGATTAGCTCAGTCGGTTGGGAGAGCGGCGGTCTGCTGAGCGGGAGGTCGCGAGTTTAAACCCCGGCCGGACCAACACTCCGGATCTTTAAATAACTGTGAAGAAAGCGCTGCCTTTGTAATGACATCTGCAAACGGTTAGACTTTGTAGTCTTCTCGGATAAGGACGAAAAATCATAGCCTTCGTCTCATTTAACTTTTACTTATCTGGTTCTTGTGGGACGTAAAAGTACCCACACCACTGTTCGAAAAGAGTAGGCGACGTAGACCCCGGTGTTGTGGCCAACCTTTCCTGGGCTGGGTGGGTTATCGGTAAGGACAGATCTTAAGATAGGGATAACCTCATGATCGTAATGGCTACCTGTAAACAGCGTAAGCACCATGTAGAGACCTGTAACATGCAGTAAATCGTACAAACCTTCTAGATCTGGGAAAGGCAGATTGCCAGCTTTCATAGCCACTTCCAGCGCAGGATTCTCTTGTGTTATGAACGGTTCCAGTTGTTGAGGAAGAGTCAACAGGTAATCACCAATCTGATAATGATAAAACAACAAAGAGTTAAAAATAAACACAAATCAGACAAAGAAAATCTGACGCTTATCATCTACTACCTTTGCTGAACGAGAAAAAACACCATTTTATTATCTTGCATCATATCGAGAAGCGAACTGCTCTGAAAGTAAGAACTGTCCAAGATCTTTCATTTGAAAGTCGACAGTTGTGTTTTTATTTCAATCCAAACTTTAATGTTATAACTACCTCATGTGTTCGGTAGCCTTTAACTAAATGGTCCCGTTTTTAAGCTACTAGAAACACCTTTTACATGGTAATAGACGGCAGATAACACAAAAAAGTAATGCTCAGAAGCTCCCATTTGAATGGCAACACTGAAGGACTTCATCCACAGACCCAAACGTTATAACCACCTTGCGCAGCATAATAAACACTCCCACAGGAAGACAGTGTCCAGTAGCTTTCAATTAAATGGTTACACAATAGGGTTGATCCAGTTGATCCACAGACTCAAAAGTTAGAACCAGTTTGTGCAGCATACGAACAACCACAAGAAAATGGTCAGGCTTAGAGCTTTTTATACAATGTTAATAATTCGACACTATGTCAGTGTGAAACTTGACAGTATCAAAGTTCAATTATGAGCTGAAAGGAAGCACACTACGTTAAATCAGTGGACTCGGGAGTCTAGTTTCAGCGTTTGTTCTTTTACATCTAAGAGAACCCGTGGAGTACTCTCTATGATGATACAGGGATGTGCCGCACGAAGCGCTCAGTTTTTAAGCTAGTGGTAAATTAAAGGGCAGGGATTTCAAAAGCTGAGATGCAGAAATGGGGAAAGGAATAGTTGGTCTTCGTTAATGTGCCTTCGATTGACCCTATTCTGGAATAAGAATACATTTTGGATTCGCGTTCTATGGCGGCTGCAATCGACGACAAAATTGTTGAGACATTGTTCTCAAATAGGGTAACTTCAGAGAACAAAAGAATCCACACCCCTCCCTCCTCCCCTCCATTCAAAGTTGGGGTGTTTGTTGTCATCTATAGGTAGTTTGAACAGCGACACAACATTGCATG